GGTCCCTTTCCTTCATTAGAAAGGTCCTGTTCAAGTGTAGGTACCTCGTGAGTCATTTCCTCAGACCTGCAGAGGACATGGATGTCGCTGAATGTGAGGGCAGAACTGGGTTTCAGACAATTCCGTCATTGACCGTTAGGTCATTCCGAGACTTGCATGATTGTTCATTGGCCCAAGGACAGGAGTCTACTGGAAAAATTGGCAGTGGGAAAGGTATGAAATTATTCCCGGGTTAAAAGAGTAAGCTATGACAATGAAGGAGGAAGCAGCAATTATAATGCCTAGGACCAGTCTGCAGCTCTGGACATTCTTAGACACATGCAGAGCCCTCTGCGCCATCACTGTTGTGCACGTTCGCCCTCTTGTGGTCATGTGTGGAGAGAAACCCTGAAGAGTTTTCCTGTTCTGTGACAGCACCGTTTTTAATGTATTATGAACGAATTTCTTTCTTGCACATTTCAAACCATTTTTTATGGTTTGCTTCTTTGTTGAAATACAACAATCATAAGTGTTTTTCAGGCACCGGAAATGACCTTGCTCTCTCCTGCCTGTCTACCGCCCTGGTATCTAGACCCTGGGATTCCGAGACAATGGCCCAATTAACCATTTTCTTCTCTATTTCTATTGAAACTATGCTCTGACTTAGGACACACTGAAAATCCTAGAGAGTTGGGACTGTTTTCCACCTGTACGTTTCTTCTGCAGGCAGCGCTGAAGGCAGCCCCTATTGAGAGCTGCTAGGGCCCGGGGTCCTAGGTTTCTATGACGACGCAAGGCATTCTGAGAAAAGTTGTGGCTGCCGGCGCCCGGCGGGAAACACATTTTGCTGGTACAGCTTTCGAGTGTCCATTTCCTTTCGGTTTAAATGAAGAAACGATGAAAGCCCTAGCGCTGCCAGACCCCTGAGTCCGCGAGGGCACTGCTTGTGGGAGAGGTTGGAGTCCCTGACTGCCTAGAGCGCGCCACCGAGCTGCCGGCTGCCAGTGCTTAGGGTCAGCGGGTAGGGTGTGCGGGTGTGTCCTTCCCGGCCTCTGCTGGGACCCTGAGGCACGTGCAAGCTTCTGAGTCAGGACAGATGGGCTGAGAGATTACAGAGGTTTCTGAAAGAGGGTAAACCACGGAAGAGGGATTCTGAAACTCCAATGTAAACATAAGCACTTTAATGAGTCTTTTGCTTGTTTTGTTTTCCCTACAGGACAGTGTAGTAACCTGAAAGTCCCAGAAGTGCCAGTAGCAGACTGATTTATTTCTGAGTTATCTTTCTGGAGGAATATGTCACATTACTAAAAAGAGTGATAGGAAGCATTATTATGTCTCTCCCGAAAACGCCAACCTCACCGTTAAAGTCCCCACCATCTTATGACCCTAGGAAGTCAAAAGTATCTGCCGTCAAGGAGACAAGAGGTAAAGTTCAAGGATCCCAAAGACAAATGATTACAGTCATTGCTGGGTGTGGTGGCACAGGCCTGTAATCCCAGAACTCTAGGAGGCTGAAGTGGGAGGAACCTAAATTCCAGCCCATTTTAGGGAGTTTAGCGACTTATCAAACACTATCTCAAAAAACAAACCAATCAAAATAAAACAACACAAGAGGGCTGGCAATGCAGCTCAGTGCAAAGGCCCTGGTTTGATCCCCAGTACCATGCCGCCCCCACACCTGCCAAATAATGGCCACTGACAAGTCACAAGCCTATATTTTCCTTATCCTTTTTTTTTTTTTTTTTTCTGAGAAGAAATCTGTCTGTGTTGGCCAGGCTTGATCCCAGTGATCCTCTGACACAGCCTCCCTGTTTCAAAAGCAAAAACCAAAAAATAGTGGAGATAGTATAACACATGCAAGTTAGTACAAAATGACGTATCAGGTTTTAGTAGTTTTTCTAAATGAGAGTATTTAATCCCAACACTCTGGGAAGCTGGGGCAGGAGGATGGCATATTGGAGCCCAAACTCAACAATTTAGCAAGACCCTGTCTCAAAAAAAAAAAAAAAATTAAAAAGGCCTATGGGGATGTGGCTCAGGAAGGCCCTGAGTTAAAATCTTCAGTACTTCAATATATAGAATATATTGATATAGATAGATATGGATAGATGTATAGATATAATTGCAGATCTGTACCAGAATAAGAATCAGAGTCACCCCTCCCGTTGTTAGGACAAAGCTTTGAATAACCTCACCTTCCCTACTTTTTAGGGGAGATTTGCTAAGGTTCCACCCAGCACTTCCCTCCCCCTTTCTCTTTCTGTCTCACTGTTTATTCCTTAACTTGTGACTACATACCTTATGTAGCAAAAAGGATTTTGTGTGTGATAAAGGTTCAGGACCCTGAGATGGAGAAAATCCTGGTTTGACAGAGTGAGCCCAACCTAGTCACCTAAATCTTTAAAAGTAGAAAAGGTAGTCTCTCTCTCTCTCTCTCTCTCTCTCTCTCTCTCTCTCTCAATTTGATAATATAAACCTTCAAGGATTTTTTTTAACTCAAAGTTTCCTTATAGAAATTAATGTCAATTGTTCTATGTGCGAGGCATTAAAAATGGTGGCAGCTCAACTCTGACTGAATTCATAGAAGGCCTTTTCCAATCTTAGACTTCCTAACCATTTTTTTTCTTCCTCTGCCATAGTTAAGCTGCGTAGAATTATTTTTACAGTTTTTATTGCAATGATTTGCTCAGATTGTTCCACTTTTAATTTTCCACCATCCCAGATCTACTTTTAATTTTCTTTTGGCTGGAGGTTGAACCCTGGGTTTTGTGCACTCCAGTTAAGCAGTCTATCATGAGATATATTCCAGTTTGTACTTTTATTTTTGAACCCAATTCAGATTCTTCCCAATCTCAGTTCAATGCAATTATTTTCGCCTTTAAATTTATAGAAGAAAAATTACTAAATAATCGAGCAGTTTGTAGGAGAGGCTTCTTTTGTCATTTTTACATCAAAGGAAAAACAGATGTTCATTCCCATCATCTTAAGACTATCCCAGTTAATTAAGTGAAGTGGGTGTAATTTTCAACTTTGAAGTTTGTATAATTCGGGTTTATCTTTGTACCTGAGCTTTTGAACCTGTGTCTGATGTGATGTGACTAGGACAGGCCATATATTTCTCTTATGCAGTGTTTTAAGTATTGCTTGTTACTATTCTTATCAATTAGAAGGAGTGTTTCTCTCTTTTAGAAACAGATAGATGAGGATGATAAGGCATTCTAGGATGCTCCACTGAAAAAACTACAATAAGAACTTTTCTTGCTCATTATTTTCTTAGGACTTCCTGACATAAGGGAGAAAAAAAAATATGGTGGATAGTTCCAAACCCCTTCCTACTTCCCTTCAGAATGAGTTCATCCCTGAGGAAGTTCTGCTTTCTCTGAGCTATGCAACCAGTGCTGGTCCTTGTCCAGAAAATTTACTGCCTCTTACCAAAGTTAAAATCCCTAAGGTGCGTGTGTATGTATGTAGAGTACTTGGGAACATTATCTTTTTGTTATCTGCTTCATTAAGTGTGAGCATATATTAGGTATTCCAGATGGTCTTAAAATTTTTTTGAAAGTAATTTTCTAGATTGAAAGCTTAGATCTTTTACACCAATATTTCCAAGGCTTATTTCCATTAACCTGTTTTTATGTAAATTTACCAAAATGATTTTTACTACTCATCAGTCTTAATATATTCATTCATCATGGAATTATCCTAGTTTCAATCTTGTCCACTTTATTGAATAAGTTCTTTCTTTCTTTATTCCATAGAGTATCCAAATTCCCCTAATGTAAATATTCAAAATCAGTTAATATTTCAGTTGACTAGTGCGCCCTCTGCTGGACATTTCTGTGCTTTTGCTTTTTCCCAGGGTACGCTTCCACGTGCTGTAGACCATGTCTGGCAGCACCCGATTCGAAGGAATAAATTCAAATACCTGATTGACCATCCTGACTCCCTAACAGGAGCTGCAAGGTAAAGAAGGAAGAGGTCAGGATAGAGGCAGATAAATAGAGTTGTCTTCTCATTTCATACGATATCCTTGGTAGGGACAGGATTGAAAATATAAAATTGTTGATTATAAAACATGCTGTATCTTTAGTAAATCAGAATACAGTCTAGAAGGACAAAGGATCACCATTTTGTGTGTGGTTATCATCAATATGATAGCTATAGGGCCGGGGATTTAGCTCAGTGGCACTATGTGCCTGCCTTGCAAATGCAAGGTCCTGAGTACCAAAAAAAAGAAAGAAAGAAAGGAAGAAAGAAAGATGATAGCTCTAAATGCAGACTGTACACGATTAATTTTTTTGCATGCATTTGTAATAATTGTCTTAATACTGTCCTATTCCTTGTTTTTCTCTGTTAAAATTTATAGGGTCTGTAGGTAGAATTACTTTATAATGCATTTTTTTTTGGTACTGGGGATTGAACCTTGCCTTCACACTGAGCTACATCCCATCCCTTTAAACATTTTTTTAATTTTGTAATTGGTGTCACTAAGTTGTCCATGCTTGGATTAAACTTGTGATGCTGCTATCTCAGCCTTCCAGAGTGCTGGGATTGTAGGCATGTGCCACCATACCAGGTGGTGGATGCTTTTAGTGCCTCCTTTTTTTTTCTACATCTTAGAACAAACATAGCTTCATGACATGGAAAACCTTGAAGGATAAGTGTTTAACTCCTGGTTCTCTTCAAAGGGAACCCTTAACTTTACATGATTTCAGATCAAAGCAGCAAATACTATTTTTTTTTTAATGATTCGAAACATACTCTAAATGTCAAATTTTTTTTCCTATGAAGATTGTGACCTGTTCATTTACTAAGTATTGTGTTTTTTTTGTTTGTTTGGTTTTTCTGTTTGTTTTTTCCGGTACTGGGGATAGAACTCAGGACCTTGTGCTTGCGAGGCAGGCCCTGGAACCACTGAGCTAAATCCCTGGCCCCTAAGTGTTATTTATCTATGGATTTTCTCCCTAGGCACACCTCTCTGTATGTCACTTTCTTTCTTTTTGTTTGTTTACTTTTTCCTGTCATTTTCATCTGAAAGGGTTACCATACTTGAATAGGTTATCTAGTCTTTCTGAAGTTACTTTTCTCATCTGTAAGAAAGGGGGTGATAGGCTTTTTCAATTTTGTGTGCCTTCCAGGGATATTGTAAAGCACAAGTGAGATAATGGATGCAAGAGCACTTGTAAAACCATTCGTGCGTATCTAAGTATAAGGTGTTATTACTCAGCTATGTGTCAGTGCTAGAAAGAATGGCAGAAAGGTAGCCAATTTTGACTTTTATGCCCTGAGCTGTAGTATCATAAAGTACATGTACTTTGTTTTGTGCCTTCAGATCATGGTTATATTTAGTACTAATTAGTAGTTATGAAATGTTTGAAGTACTTTGAAAAATTAATTAGCTATTTCAGAATGCAACAGTAAACTGACATTAAAGTTTTGATGTCAAATGACTTCTGAGTGGGAATTTTTTAAATGTGAAGATTAGGTAAGAAGATAATGCTCCCTGCGCACTTCCTAAAATACCCTCACTTTAATCCCAGAACTTGTGATGGCATACTTCACATGGCAGAGAAGACTTTAGAAAGGGTTGGAGATGTAGCTCAGCATAGAGAGCTTGCCTAGCATGTTCAAGGTCCTGGGTTCAATCTCAAATATGATGAAAGGGAAAAGAAAAAAATGCAATTGGGTACAGGAATCTGGGACTTCTAGTGACAACTCAGCTGGCAACTATCTAGAAAACAGGGATCTCAGTCTTGCAATTTCAAGGAACTGAATTCTGTTAAACACAGGTGATCACAGATATGGATCTTCCTGTGGTGCATCCAGACAGAAACAGCCCTGTCAGCACCTTGATTTTAGCCTGGTGAGACCTGCATTGGCCCTCTGACCTGCAGAACTGGGATAATAAATCTGTGTTGCTTAAGCTAAGTTCGCAGTAACTCATTATGGCAGAAATATGTATATGCCCAATTAATAGTAACAAGAGGAAACTTGCCCAGCAATCTCAAACATCCAGAACACAGCAATAAAATACTAATGACAAAGTGAATATTTTTGTCAGCTCTGTCAGAGCTCAATGCAAAAATAAAGGATTGTACATATTTCAAGTAGGAAAAAGCTAAAGGTAGAAACCTGAGTGTTTATAAAATCATTGGAAGGGTTAAAGGAGTTGGTATAAGCAGTTTCCATGGGAAAAACTCCCAGTTTGGGCAGAGTTGACTCCATAAAGAAGTAACTCCCTTCAGAGCAGCCACAAGAGCTCTGGTTCAAGAATGTACCCCCTGAACAGACATTTGTCCAAAGCGCATACAATTAATTAATTGATTACCCTATGTCTTTTCTTTGTGCCCTTTTCTCTCTCTCTCCCTCTTTCTCTTCCTTCTCCCTCCTCCCTCCTCTTCCTCCTCTTTCTCCTTGCTCCATAGAGTTTTCTTTCTTTCTTTTTTCCTGTCTCTGTACTGCCCTGGGAAGAAATCACAGAAATGAGTAACATAGATCAGGACAGGTGTAGATAAAGTTATGAGAGGGTCATGTGGAAGGCATCTGGGGTAACTGGTAAAGTTTGATCTTGTAATATGGTTGGTAATTACAAGGATATATATCTCAGAATAAATATTTGAGTTATACAGTTTTAAAATTTTTG